CCCCCGCCCCCTCTGGCGGCTCGTCCCCGGACCAGGGGCGGCGGCGCGATTACGAATGCAGCAGCCGCCTTCCGCTCGATTTTGTTGCAACCCCATATGTGGGCTTCGCATGAGCCTGCCGGTGCATCTTGCACATCTGCTGCGTGGCGCTGAGCCCCGGCGCCTCGGCGGCAGGGGCAAATCCGTTTACACCGATGCTCGCCCACCGCCGAGCCGCAGCCGCGGGGTTGCCGCGACGTGCGCTCGCGCGGGGTTGGGCGCACCTGCGACGCGCGGGCTTTTGTGAGCCGGCGCGGGCGCCGCCGCTGCGCCCTGCGGCGCAGCGAGCCTGGGTCGCCGCGCAGGGTTGGTTGACGCGGCACGAACGGTTCCATTCATGACCCAAAGGAATGGCTGTAGGCGCTCAAACCCCAAAACCCGCAGCGCAGGGCCCACAGCACAGGATTCAGGACCTGGATACTCTTTAGGCAGGACGGCCTCGAGCAAGGGGTGTGGCCTGTGCAGCACCACCACTCGATTGGCTCGGGGGACGATTCAACGCCCAATGCTACTTCTGTTCCGCCACACCCTCCCACGCGGCAACCGACGGCTTGCGTCGCTGCCAGCCGCAGGCGAGCGGGTGTTCATTCACGTGCCACGACCAGATGCAGGCCGCCAGCCCGCTGGATCCGGCACGTCTGCAAAGCAGGAACGCATCAGTGCAGAACGACACACAGCCAGAGAACGCCCACCGAGCCCCCGTTGCAGCGGGCGCGCGCCCACCGCAGGCGCCGCCCCTTCGAGGCTCGCCCCTTTCGTTGTGGCGGGAGCAGCGCCCTTTTTCGTTGTGGCGGGAGCAGCACCCTTTTGCTCGCGCCTGGTCCGCGGCGCCCTGTGGCGCCTGTTGTTCGCTTGCCCTGCGCAGCCTGTCAATCCCCTGTGCATGTCTGTGTCCCCGCTGGGGCAGCGCTCTCTGTTGTCGAGGGCACTCCACGTGTGCTTGTCCGTTTCTGTACATACAACGTCTCTGGTTCCCTGTGCCCTGTCTGTCTTGTATTTTTGCGCCCGTCTCGAAACGATTGGAATGCATGCACTGCGCTGGCACTGGCGGCCCCGGCCCCCTGTACCGGGCTTTGGCATTTTCCCAAACCCATGCTGCCGTTTAAACCCTTGAGCTTACTTCGCACTGGGGAGACGAGATGGGAAGGGTCACCCAAAAAGTCAACTCAGTCAACAGACAGGAGCGGTCCAAAGGAACCAGCAAGGAGTGCGCGTGATGATGCAGCATCACTTCGTTCATGAGGTTGTGCCACCGTCCCTGCCTAGAAAATCAGTCCAGTGCAGTGGTGACCATCCGAAACATGTGTCCTGGAGCACAGGACGATGTGTACCTGACTTCTGGACGGCAACAACAACCAAAGCCAAGCGATCAAGGGCACGCGCCGGTGTGTGCCCCTGCTGCCCAACAAGAATCGACAGAGGTATCAACATACAGCACGACCGCGCGCAAGATGAGCGCTGGTTTGATACAAATGGCGCTCCCGGAAGGCGTGGAATCAGCCGGACAGCTATGGCCGGATTTCGTGCCTGTGACCAACTTGCCTGCGCGGCGAGCGGCGGCCATGTTTGGCAGCCCCTAGAGGCCCATAACCAGCAGCGTCGCCACCGAGATGCCAAACCGCTCCAGCGCCGCCGGCCCCCACCGCGCCTGGAGCAGCCGCATGCACCACTGCGGCGGCATCACCGCGTCCGGCCGCTGCTGCGCGCAGCGCACGAGGTTCAGCGCGTGCGCGCGGACCGCGGACTCGACGGGCGCAGCCACAAAGTCAGCCAGGTCGGCCAGTGACCGGGCGTTGTGGCAGATGCGGCCGTCCCCCAGGTGGGCCACCACGTTTGGGAACGTGGTGTGCTGGGGCCCCTCGACGCTGAAGCCGCCGCGGACGGCGAGGACAAAGGTGCGCCAGGCGCCGGCGGGCGGCGGCGGCGGGGCCGCGGACTGATCATGCGTGGGGCCGCCCGCGCCGGCGTCGCCGCTCGGCACTGTCGCTGCTGCTGCTTGTCCTTCTGCTGCTGCTGGTGTTGCTGCTGGTGGTGTTGCTGCTGCTGCTGGTGCTGTTGCTGGCGGTGCTGCTACGGTTTCGGCCTTTGTTTCTGCACCTGGTTTTCGGCTGCCAGAGGGTGAAGTAGCGCCAAAGGAGAGGCCCCGCACGTGCAGCTGTGGCCGCCGAGGCAGTTGAGGCTCGGTCACGGCAAACGCCGCGGACCCCAGCCGTGCTCTGAGCCCGCGCCACCCAGCGTGCGCCGCCCCGGCCGCCTCGCCCCCCTGCAGCCGCTGCTCTGACGGCCACTGTTGGCGCTGCTCTTCGGCATCGTGCAGCCCGGGCTCATCCGCCGCCTCCAAGAGCTTGCACTCCCAAGCAAACACCAGAGCCTCGCTTTCGGCCCCGCGGCCGTCGCCGCGGCCCGCCACGCCGTCCGCATCGTGGCTGCCAGGCCGCTCGTGCACCGCGAGCCAGATGAGCCGCAGCTGAGTGCCCCCCAGATCGTCCACGCCCGCCAAGATGCCAGACGCCGGCGTGTTGTCCACCAGCACGCTCAAATCAACAGACTCTGGCGCCAGGGCCGCCAGCGAATCTGACCAGTCAAACGGGCCGCCGATGGGACCGGTCCCCGCCACCGCCCCCGGCCCGACCGCGGCGCCTGACGCCGGCGCCGCGGCGTCGGAGTCTGATGGCAGGTGCAACTGCCAGTGCAGCAGCTGCGCCCAGAAGTGCCGCGGCTGGTCGAGCGACCAGTGGTCAAGCCAGTGGCCATCTTGATCCTGCTCCTCCTGCTGCTGCTGCTGCTGCTGCTGCTGCTGCTGCTGCTGCTGCTGCTGCTGCTGCTGCTGCTGCTGGCGTTGCTGCTGATATGGGCTTGAGGGCAGCTGTTGTAACAATGACGTCTGCCCCAGGCTGCTACGCTGCGGCCGCCAGTGTTGACGACGGCCAGTGGTTGTTGTTGATGCCTCCGCCACTGCCGCCGTCGCCGCCGCGCACGGCCCGCCGCTGTCACGGCCCGCTGCTGCAGGATAGGGATCGTCCCAAGGAGCCCGGACGGCGCCAGCACTGCCGCTGCTGCTGGGGCCGGCGCCAACCTCTGAAGCGCAAGGCGCGCTGAGCAACGGCCGCTGCGGAGCACCGCGTGCGAGTGGCGCGGCGCCCCAAGAGCGCGCGCCCGGCTGCGGGCTGGCCGCGCCGCTGCGGTTGGTGCTGCGGGTGCCGCTGCTGCCCGCACTGCGGGCGGCCGCACTCGAAGGTGCTGCGGAGCTAAGGCCAAGGCCAAGCCGAGAGCGCCGCCGCATGGGGCCTGCCGCTGGCACGCTGGCGGCGCTCGCCCTGCTCCTATTGCCATCGCCATCGCCACCACCGCTGCCACCATCACCGCCCTCGCTGCCGCTGCCGCCAATGCCCCTGGTGCTACCGATGCTGCTGCTGCTGCTGCTGCTGCTGCTGCTGCTGCTGCTGCTGCTGCTGCTGCTGCTGCTGCTGCTGCTGCTGCTGCTGCTCTCGCTGCCTTGTTCTGGGTGAATTGCATCGACTTCGCCAACAGAGCCTGCAGTGCTGCCTCCGCTGCACGTGCCGCTGCCATCGGCCGTCGGCGCATACACCGCCGACGCGCCCACCGCCCAGCCGCCCCAGTCTCTGCTGCTCGGCCACACAACTTCCTTCTGAGGCGCGGCCTGCGGGATGGCCGGGGACAGCGACAGCGTTCGGCGGCGCCTGCGGGGCCACTGTGCAGGTGACGGCGGCGCGGGCGCTGGTGCAATCGCCGGGATGCCGGCCCTGCTGCTTTTGCCGTTGCCGAGGACGCTGCCATTGCTGGCCACACTGCTGCTGCTGCCGCCGCCGTCGCCGTCGCTGCCGCCGCAAGGGGAAACGTCACCATAGGCGCTGCCGGGGCAGCCGGCTGCAGTCACCAGGCGGCCGCCCGGTGATGGGCTGTGATTGCCCCGCATAGGCATGGAGAGGAGGCCGCGATGAGCCCTGGCGAGGGCCCACACATCGCTGTAAAGCCGCTTGCGCATGCCCGTGGTGAGCGGCAGCAGCGGCGACGTTCCTGGAATGGTGTGGGGCCGGCGACATGGTGAGCCCCATGTATGCCGAGGCGCTGCGAGCATGCATGAAACGCCGCCTTGTGCAGTGTCGCCCTACCTTTGTGGTACCTTGAACGGCCTTGTGTGCTCGCCGCTTGCCCAGGCTGGGCTCTGAGCAGCATCTGGCCGCAGAGGTGCAACGCGTGCTGTGCGTGGCACGCGGCCGCCTCGCTCCCTTGGCAAAACCAGGCACAGTCGGAGGACGCTGAGTTACGGCTGGTTTTCTAGGGTGTTTCACGCACAGCGAGACCCTCGCGAACACCGCGTTGACACAACACAATACGAAACGATCTGAGAAAGTCTACCGTACAGTATACACGTAGCCTTTGCACAAGCTAACACTGCATAAGGGCATCATGAGTTAGCTGCACACACAACGGTGTCGTTGTTGCAGACGGAGCTTGGTTTTCGAGTACGTACAGTAGTTTTCAGGGCCTGGAGATCGCCAGCGCCTTGTGGAATTAATGTTCCGGTACATGTAATGTGTTGAACTCCACAAGCCTCATGCCTCTCTATACATTGTCGCCGTCCGGTTGCTTGGGCCCCCCCTTCCTGCCGTTGGCCATGTCACCTGGTGACGCCATAGGGTGCACAGCCTCAGCTGTTTGCAAAGTATCAGCTCATGTTCAAAACCCTCATTGTGACAATCTGGAGTGTGTGTCTGTGACCACATGGGCGGGAGTACCCCAATCGCTTTCAGCACACTGCTGCTTCCCACATCTGCCGAGTTGGGTGTCCACGGTGGTCTCAAGGCGCCCCACCGTAATCGGTCTCTCGTCACTGCGTGCATGTTACAACGAAGTTTATCTGAACGTGAGTATCCCCATCAATCAAGGTTGGATGTCACGTGACGAGAGTGGCACACGACGGGCACAATTGATAGCAAACCATTGCTGTCTGCGTGGCGTGTGCGGAGCGCCATTACGCATGGCAGCTGTCTCAAGGTGTGCATGCCATACCTGATCAATAACCAATGTGCGGCCTGAAAATCCAAGCCTGCTTCAAAGTTGTTGCAGCCTGTCCCAGATGAGCGCTGCGGGCACTACGACTGCATTGCCCTGGATCAGGTCACTGCCCACCATCATTCCCAACAGCCTTGCGGTGCCCACTGCAAAAACGTCACCTCCCACGTTCCCGATGCCACTCAGCATGTCACCACGGTTGTGTAACCACGCATCTGGTTGCGTGGCTGACAAAATCCCATACGCCACAGATGTAGAATCGCCACGCCCTTGTGTAGACTGGCCCTGGTGGTAGAAGCGAAGCCCGCCTTTCTGTTCAAAGTCCAAGACAGGCGCACGAAGCTCCTTGTCCACCTGGGGGTTGTGTGGATACAGTCCATCAAATGGAATATATCATTATAATATCAGCTCTGAGCACGCGATACACTTGGGTGACAAGCCATGAGGACACACACGATCAACACAGTAGAAAGCACAGCTGACAAAACGACTTGAAGGGTACGTAGCAACACATGCCGTGCATGTTGAGATCACAAAATGTGAGTATAGCACACCTTGCACTGTTGTTGCATGCGCAATTGTAACTTGCTTAGATCGGTTACACCAGGCAGCTGCCAATGCCCTTTGATATGCCAAGCTATCAGCCACACCCCGGCGTGTGCTATATATAGCTCTACAGCTTACTACGCTGCTTGAGATTGTTCTTGCTATTCTACGTGTCTGACTCTCGACGGACACAAGCCTCGTGGTCCCCTGATACGTACCACGCAGAATAAACCACATGCAACTGGCAAGGCATGGTAAAAGTTTGAAAAAGCTGAAGAGCAAATTTGAGAACCTCACTTTGAAGGGGGGCGGGAGGCGTGCTGAAACGTCCTACATCTGAAGTACTAGGCATGTCACCAGAAATCTGTTTGAAGAGGGGGCAAGGAGCCGGCGTTCGCAGGAGGGTCGCTGCATAATGCAGTGCTAAGGAGTCTCTATGGAAAAAACCTGTTCTCGCAGTGTTGATTGACGCCTCCAGACTCGCAACTGCTCATGCAGCACTACTCACCAGAGCCCTGCTTGCCGGCACACATCAAAACTGTCACCACGTGCACGTGCGGTAGTCTCGGTGCCGGGGCAGGCGGCTTAACGCCCACCCTCCTGGAAGGTGGTTTCGCGCAGTCTTCTATATGAAGCGTCGGCTTTGGTGCTTGGCAAAGCTGGGCCCCTCCATAACCTGCGCAAATCTGACCGCTGGCGGGCTTGAGACAGGTCGCGAATCGAAGGTCCAGCAAAGGACAACCGCAGATCTGGTAGGGGACACTGCATGTGACTGGTCAACGAAAAGGTTTTGGGAGCTCTATGCAACTTCTTTGTGCCAGGAAAGGGGCAGGCATTGACCAGCCTCCGAAGACCCTGCCGAAGAGGATCGGCTGTTTTCCAGGATAGGTCGGTGGTGACGGGCCCAAACCTGAAATGAGGTCCACCTTGCGCCCTACTATACAAAGCGGTCCATGGCTGATGCAACAAGTCTTATTTTCAACGTGTGTTGCTGGTAGAACAGCTTCCTGTGACGTGCCGCCAATGCTGGCACCCCCGCGTGCTCGTCCCGCATGTGCAGCCCGAAGTCAACCATTGCCGCGCCGACCTGAGCTGTTCACTGGGGCCCACCGCTCAGGAGCAACTAAAGTCACGAAAAATTGCGGCGTGCATCGGGATCACGAACACGAGCGAGCAGAAGGGCTTCGGAGGGACGCGGGCTGGATCGCCCGAGTTGCCGGTCAAGCAGCTGCCGGGCGACAGGCGCACCTTTCCTCACCGCTTTTTTCGCACCTTCATCATACGCGCACTGCTGTCGTATACAATCCTGACCAGCCGGCCTGCTTGCAGTCACGGCCTTTCCCGCGCCGAATCGGCCGGAGGGCCCTTGGGAGCCACGGTGAGGAGCGAATATCGGCATGTTGTGCATTCTCGAGCTGTCCTGGGCCACTTGCACGCATGCAGAGCTTCTTCCAAGGCGCTTCGCACGTCTGTAGGCCCCAGAACTGGCCAGGGGCCGTCAAATAGCCTCGCCAGCCCCGCCAGGCACCCCATTGAATCTTATTGAGGCCTTTTGACGCGGCAACACCCCTGCATGTGGCCCACAGCAGCTGCGTCGGCACCCGCACGCTGCGCCTCTCACCCGCTGCCATGACACCTCGCGGACGCGCCGCGCCCCGCAGGCGCCACAGCCACACAGTCAGAGTGTGGAATAGCGTGCCAGGCACTTGCTGAAGGGCCGTGCGCGAGTGCAGACGCCAGGCCCATCTGCACCGCAGCGAGGCAGCGCAGCCGCGCTCGCCGCGAGGCGCGTGCACAGGTCGCCACAGCGCGACCGCCACAGATCACTGCGCCGCCGCCGCGCGGCCGACACCCAGGGAGGCCCCGCACGCCGACACCCTACCGGCAGCCGCGGCCGCGCCGCCGCGCACCGGCTGGCCATGGGGCGCGACGACTCGGGCGAGGTGCTGGTCATGCGGCCGAGCAGGGCCGACTTCAGCCGGCCGTTTGCAGAGTATGTGACCAAGGTGTTCAAGAAGCACCCAGATCTGCCGATGTTCAAGGTCAAGCCGCCGGCAGGCTGGCGGCCCAGGAGGTGCGGCGAGAGCAGGGCCTCTTCCCACGGGTGCAGCTGTGCACGCTCGCGGCCGCCAAGGCGGAGGCAAGGGCAGCAGGGGCAGCTGGGCCGCAGCTGCTGCCGGGGCGGCGCGGGGGCTGCATGCGAGCGGTGCCGAGGCGGCCGCAGGCTTAACGGGGCCGGGCAGCGCCGGCTGCGCCCTGAGGCAACCGCCTCGTTGCATGCCGCCGCCCTGCACATGGCGAGCAGCCTTCTCTGGGGCCACATCGCCTTTACTGCGACACCACCAATCTCTCAGCCCCCCTCACGACACCACCTCTATGCACCGCGTTCCCTCCTCCACCCCAGGCGCCCCTTCCCAAAGCTGGACACGGTCGAGATCGTAACCCCCATCAAGCAGATCTGCTACGGCAAGGGCGGCTCGTACCGCTGCATCCTGATGGAGCAGAAACGGATGAACGTGCAGCGTGAGCGGGCGGCGGGGGCTGTGTGTGTGTGTGTGTGTGTGTATGTGTGTGTGTGTGGATGGGGTTGGGGGTGGGGTTGTGGGTGGGGTGGAGGCAGGCGCATGGCACACGCGTGGTGGTGGGGTGGGGTGTCAGACCAGCCAGCGGCTGCGCACGTCGCCTTTGCCAGAACCCCCCCCCCCCTCGTTTTGTAGCAACGCTTCTTCCCTCAAAACACCTCAGAGCGCCCGCCACCGGTGCCGGCCGCTCCGCCCGCGTCCTTTGACGCCCTCGTCTGCCCCGGCCCCGCCCCCATCCTTCCAGGGTTCAAGGACATCAGCGAGAGTGAGGGCCACACCCCTCCCGAGAGCAAGAGGGGGAAGGACCTGGAGGATACCCTGCTGGAGAGGAGCTTCTGGAGCAGGTGGGTGTGTGTGTGTGTGTGTGTGTGGGTGTGAGTGCATGTGAGCGGGCGCAGCGACAGCCCATGCACGCGCATGTGCATGTGCTGCATGCCTATTGACTTCTCGCACAAGCCTGTTGCCTGCGGGCCGTGTCGCCTGTAAATCGCCCCGCGTCTTCACCGCGGCACGAGGGGATCCCATGCCGCCCGGGCGTGCATATCCAACCGCCGCTGCCCGAGCGGCTGACCGGGCGCGCCGCGTCGCCGTCCGTCTGACGTCTCGTGTGGTCCCCCTGTTCCCCTGGCCGGCCGCAGTGTGACCATCAACCCGCCGCTGTATGGGGCGGACACCCCTGTGTCATTCTTCGATGACAAGCTGGAGTACGGCTGGAACCTGCGCGGCCTGGACGTGGGTCGCGCGCGCGCGCGCGCGCGTGTGTGTGTGTGTGTGTGTGTGTGTGTGTGTGTGTGTGTGTGTGTGTGTGCGCGCGCGCGCGAGCGTGTGTGCATGCATGCTTGTGTCTGCATGCATGCAAGCTTCAGAAGCGTGCGTGTGAATAAAACTGCGGCGCATGCTGGTGCGAGGCCGTGCACGCGCCGAGGAGGAGGGGCGCCGCCCGCGCTCAGGCTGACGCGCGCGCGTCCCTGGCGAGCGTCGGCGCGGGTGCGCGCGTCGTTTTACGTGGCAGCACGTTCCGGCGAGCCCGCAGCGACGCCCGCCCGCGGCCGGCGGCGCCGCCGCGATGCAGGATCGCGCCGGCGGCCCCCGCGCCTGCCCCGTTTCCAATCTCCCACCGTCCCGCCCCTGTTCCCCCTGCAGGGCTGCCTGCTGAGGCAGATGCGCGTGCCAGACATCCCCGGGGTCACCACCCCCATGTGCTATTTCGGGATGTGGAAGGCATTCTTCTCGTGGCACAAGGTGGGGGGCCGCTGCCCCCGGCGGGCGCTGATCGCGGAGGGGGCCGAGGGGCTCGCGGGCGTGCAGCGCGCCGCGCCCCGCCCTGGCGCCCGGCCGGCCGCTGCGCCGGACCCTTTGCTCGCCGCGGCGGCTGCTTGGGAAGTTGCGACCTTGATCTGCAGTAGTGCGTATCGTGGGAGCGTTCTCGCCACTGGTCAGCCGTGCTTGACCTGCCATATCCTGTTGATCCGTCCACCCACAATATCCTTCATCCATCCACATCCCCAGGAGGACGCCGACCTGTTCTCCATCAACTACCTCCACTTTGGGGCGCCAAAGGTGCGGCCCCCTGGCACCTCGCCCCTGATGATTTCTGTCCCGCCGCCGCGAGCCCACCCGCACCCCAGAACGCCGCCCGCAACTCTCCCCCTGCGCCCCACTCGCCCTGCAT